TCTGTATCTTTTCCATTTTTAAAGAGGCTAAGTCTTAACCTAGGTAGAATTGAAGTTTTCATAGGACAGACTTTATGTTCTACATCATATAATGATTTTTAGTGTTGTAGGTACATTGTTATGGCGTCAGAACAAAGCATTAGACGTTTCCGTTTCGCATGTGCCTTCAGACGAAGACTAGACGGCTTATCTATCCTCTGTGCTCGTCAGTAAGGGCTCGGCAAAGAATCTACCTTCATTTATAAACTCTTACCATCAATTGACCACGGTCTCGTAACCAAGGTCAGCTGTCCGTTAGTCGAAATCCAGCGGCGGGGTTCGTATTGGCCGACGAAAGGAGGGGGACCTAGACAGACAATCGTTCTTTGCAGGAGCGCTTCCTAAGGCACTGAGGGTACTAAGGCATTTGCACTGACTTGCAGAATTTTGGAAATATGGAGCTTGTATCTCAGATACTCTGACTGGTAGTTTCTCATGGTTTCTTCAATTGACCATCCGTTATACCTTTAAAATCCACGTCACTTTTGCATGGTATCTAGGATCACGTCCATACTTTTGATTTGAGTCAGTCATGACCTTTCGATGGGCTAGATCGACACTCGAATGAAGAGTCATTCTACAGCTGGGCGTTTCTTCAAGATGACCTCCTTGGTGCTCATTTCCTTAGTGGAACACTCGAACGGGGGCAGCGGTAGGTGGCACATTTATTAAGCCTAGGAGAAAGTGTTTTTCTCCTAGGCTTAATAAATGTAGGAGTGGGTCAGCTATGAGCGGAACGGCAACATCACAAGACGTTTCGATATGCTTTCAGGCCTTTGATAACGATGAAATCGTCGAAACGTCGGGCATAATAATATTCCACCCTAAAAAACCTGTGGGCGCTGGGCGCGGAATGTTTATATTAGATTGGTCTATAATTTTTGAGACACTTTACATGTATTGTTGTAAAAATCTTTTGATAAGTATTGAAGCTTTCCAAGATGTCCTGCAACCCAGCACACAAGCTCGCCTATCCGACAGGCTAGCCACTCGTTTGCTTGTTGCTTTCTTTAGCTAGGATTCCAATTTCTTCGAAACCTATTTCTGAGCCTCTTTCTTCATGACTACCGATTAGGATCTTCCACGCGCCAAGCTATATGTAGGACTAACCAGAAGATAGAGGGCACGCTCTCTCAATCCACGGTTACCTCTACTCAGGGTTCCCTCCTTTTATTCGAAGATGATCCACACTCCAACCACCCCGTGACTGGCAATCTCGATGCTCTATCCGGCGCCATTGGAAAAGGAATCTGAACAAAGTGGGCGCTATTTGTCAGAGCGCTTTTGGTGTTACAGTGAAAGTACTGAGACATCTCGATAAAGTCGCTAAGGTTTGAATATATGGAGTTTGTCTCTCACATGCTCTGAGCCCGAATCAGCTCTACAACCCGATCTGACATCATCATGTTCCTATTGGTTTCCCATAGTTCCTTTGAATGACCATCTCATAATCGTCATCATACTCATCGGTGATGTGGACTGGGTGCAGTGTGCTAACAAATCCACGAGCCGCAGTAGCTTATTTAGCTCAACGATTCGGGAGTTCTGACAGTAAAACCCAACTCCCTCTGAATTTCTACTTCCTGAGTCGTTGGCGCAATACGAGGAGGGCCTTTGCGCTGGGAACCGGCACCAACTAATACCAGTGTCAGTGATGAAGATAATCGTTGACAGCTTGATGGCAACGCCTTCAACTTGAAAGCAAAGTAAGACAAAATCTATTTTTTCTGAGGTCGTTCGAGCCACCTTGCTAAGAAAATTCCTAAAAAATTGGAGACTCTCGGGCGGTCAGTTCTTTTAGCTCCGCCTTGTAGCACTAATCCTGCGCCAACGAACGACTATCCGCTCCTCCTCTCTGTTCACCTTCTGGAGAAGAAATCTCACTTGAATCACCATAAAGTCAAAATCGACATCCAATATTTCTTCGATCAGAACTCTATGAAATTCTAAAGAGACACTGAATACCCACCCTCGCATTGGCGATATGTTGGTAATAATGGTGATGTATACTAATAAATACATCAGAGAAATAAGATAAGTAATTAAATCGAAAAACACCAAAGGTTCTCAAAAATTACGGACCCACCTAATACATATGTGGGGACTGATACCTGCCGTTACAATGTGACGATACGCTATGAAGTAACTCACGAATTCCAGCTTTCTACGCATGTCAAGTGAATGCCCTCACCCTCCTCCCCCATTCCCTAAATGCAGCTCCCACCAACATACGTATCGCGCCTACCGTATTCAAAAAATGTCGGCGCGCCCGTTCCACTTGTCACCCGGCAGTCTTCTACCTCATGAGCTAAGCCGTTTGGACAGAGCGAGCACCTGAAGTAAGGCGTGAAGTACCACGTTCCTGCCGCAATCACGTACATGCGTTTTTCCTCGACGGTTCGCTTGACCCTGCTCCCAGGTCACCATGGCCATGAAGATATGACTACCAGATGTGACTTTGAACGCTGATCTCAAATCTACCTTCCAAATCTGCTAAACGATTCTCTGAATGGAGTTATGAAGCAAAACAGCGCAACGGCAGTGGTCGGGATTTGATCGGCCCCTGATAGCGTTTACTGTCTTGCGTTCTTCAAGAATTAGGCTAAATAAGAACTAAAAGTTTTTTAGCTGTACTACAGAAGAAAGCAAAACACTAGACGCGATCAGGGGCCGATCCTACGACGTTTTGACTGCAAATCCCGATCACTACCGTTGCGATTTGGAAGATAGATTTGATATCAGCGTTCAAAAAAACATGTAGCGGTATACACTTCTCGAATGGCCATGGCGACCTG